AGTTTATTAGGTACTGAATTTTAGGTAACAAGTGGCGTAACTGTGTTTCAATAAGTGTTATTCATGTTATTGAAAAGCTTAAAAATTAATTCTCTTAAGCCAAAGCAAAACAAAACAAAATAACACAGCTATAAAATAGACAAGTTTTCAATGGGTGGTTTATTGCTCGCATTTTATTTTCAGTGATACCACATACTCCTAAGAGTTCCCAAGACACAGACTGTTTTTCCTCTTGTATATTATACAAAACATCTTCCATACATAAATATTGAACTATTGCACCAATTGCATTCACTACTTTTAAACTATTCCTGAAACCTTTTGGGGAATGATATTTGCAAGGCGATGTTGTTAGGTATACTGGATTTCCTTACAACGTCACATATTTAAAGGAGTTATTTTTCCAAAATCCAGAAGGCTTCAAATAGCAAATACCAAAGTGACACTGTACATTATAATTCATGAAAACACCAACACTGTAAATGATGTTCCACAACTTACTAAATCAATGATAGAAGATATAACATCAGATCAAAATTAAAAAGAATCAAATAAATGGAATACCTAAGATTTTTAATGCTAATTCCATTTTTCTAAAAATTCTATGCTACTAACTAAATATTTGCTTACATGAGTTAAGTATCAAAATTGTATCTTTTGGGCTCTACATTTTAGCATAGATTGTGCTAAGCCAGTTAAATTCCTTCACATGTTAAGATTTCCTGTTACTTAAAATGAGAAATAAAATATTAAAAATACAGCAGATTTTCGGAGACATTAATGTCCAAGTGAAAGATTATGGTTCCTCCCCCAACTGAGAGTATAGAGAGACAAAATATAAAGTAATCCACAACAGGTAATATGACAAATATAATACCACAAGTTTAAGATATAAAGAAAAACATATTATGTATTAGCAAATCTTTGATCACACTAAAATCAAAGGTATAGCATGATGTAATGATAACTATCATATTAAACTCAATACTAGAAATTAAACTGCCTAATTTTTCCTTTTTACAACTATTTATCTACTAATTTTGCCTTAAGATATTTATCAACAAATTTCTAAGATGCTTTCCATCTAAAGTGTTTAGACTGCAACTTTTAAAAGCTGTAACTAAAGTATTCCTTTTGTACTACCAATATCATAATACTCTTCCTTCAACAATATAAACAAAAGAAGTGACCCATTTTAAAACTTCATCAACTCATCTGATTTCGCAAAAAAAGATCATTTTTCTGCTATACAGTCCCGATCCTAAAAGTTAAATTGGCCACTGAATTCTCCCCATGTTAAAACTAAGGCAGTGTTGGGTATTTCCTTCACTAAAAGAAAAATTCACTTACGGTCTGCTTTTTCATGAGTTTTAAGATTTTAACATATAATTGGTTTGTGATTTAAAAAAAAAAAAATCACCCAAGTTGGACAATGCTAAGATTATGATATAATAAATCTAGGAACATAAGTTCAAATTTTAACTTAAGGACCATAAAAAAAGTAAATACTTTACATCAAATGTGATCCAGTTTCATTATCATAAATATGAAAACAATATAAGAAACACACTAATATATGCTGAGATTATAGTGAAGTATTTCTGTTTGATATAATGAATATCTCTACTATCATACAATGGAATAACAATAGGTACATTACGAAATGTTCTAAAATCTAAGGCACACATGAAAATACATATTTTATAAACCCTTTAGTATTCCCAACCAATAACGTATTCAATAAGTTTTTGGATTATCTATGTTAACCATGCAATACTTTTAACATATAAAATCAGTCTATTTATTAACAAAAACTAAACACATCTTCAGATGCCAAATAAAAGAATAAAAGAGAACACTATCGCCATTCTGAAAATGCATTCAGTAATATATTCCCCCAAATGAGAAAGCTGTTTTTTTACTACAAAGCAACAACTTTAGGGAAACCATTTATAAAAAAGATATATAAATAAATAAGCTATTTTAATCAAGTAAGAAAAAAAGACATTCACAAATCACAGGTGGTAAGTGTTCTGTAAGATTTAGATTTTTAAAAAGATAAATGAATTACGAAGCACAGCAAAAAATAAAGCATGTCTACTTGCAGATCTTTTCTTCCTGATTACAGTAATTTAAAAATGCACCTTACAATCCTGATCATACAATTTCCCCAAATTATTTTACTATGAAATGTGAAATATACAATGCAATATACAGTTCTACAAATTCTAAATCATACCAACTAATGTGCACAAAATGTTTTCTTGATTTCAACCATAAATACTAAAAATTACTCAAAAAAGCAAGGTTGCTTAAGATATTTTAAAGACACAGGTTGAGCAAAAAAAAAAAAAAAAAACAAAAAAAACTACAAATATGATAAATACGAATAGACTATATTTGCTCTAATAAAAACAATGGACATACATTTGAGTTGAAATTTGTTAAAATATCCTCAAAGTGTGGCTGTAGTCTGCATTATATATTCTACAGAAAATCTGTCTTACATACACCAGTTATTTTAACTAAACCTTCTGAACACAATTACACTGTTTCAAAACTTAGGTAATTTGGGAAAATCCATTAGGTTATACAACTAAAGTACACTTTTCCACAAATACACTGTCTTACCAAATGAGAAACAGAAAAACTCTTCATGAAATAAACATTAAGCATATTCATTCTAATCCAACAGGAGTCATAAATGCATACATGAAACACAAAAATGGGCTTCCCAATAAATTACTGCATAATCCTACAAGAAAGTCCTTATAACTCGGTGATATAAATCACGTTTTTCTAATTTACTTCATCTGAGATGAGCAGGTAGTTATCCCTTAAATATATCTGAGTACAAGAACTTGAAAGTAGCTCAGAGGCTGTTATGTTGAGGAATACCAGGACCTTGGATAATTCCATAGCCTTGTGGTCAAGTGTAAACAGAAAGACCATTAAAATTGAAGTCTATCAGAAGAAGAGAGATGTATCTGTCTGAACAGGTAATAACCTAGTTAATATCATATTTAAATAAAAATTGTTCAGAATTAATACAGCTTCTTATTAATTACAGGCTTTATTTTATCCTTAAAATTGATTCCAGTGTGTACTTGGTTTCCACCTGTTACAGGCAGAGGATAAGCCTTCTTTTATCCAGACATTTCAAATCACATTTGATCAGGTTACGTCACTACACACACAAAATTTTGTTCAACGCGTTCCAGCTTTCCATTTTTTCCAACGGATATTCTTGCTCTATATGAATAACATGCCTCAGAACTATAAATAAGCAATTTCAATGTAATAAAAAAAATATGCATAACTAAGTGGACTAAAAACAAAAGATCTAATTCTCGGTGCACCCTTTCCAACCCACTGAAAATAAACTATATTCAAATGAAAAGGCATTTAATTTACTATTTGGAATATCCTTGATAAACACCAATTTTCTGTAACATCCCTGCACATCTGATACCACCTCATGTTTAATGCAGAAAAGCTATTTCATTTTCATCTATTGACAGTGAATTTAATTTACCATTGCAGCTCTTTTCCTAGAACTATCACGTTATTAATTCTGTAATCAAGCTCTTTTGAGTGCTTTTATTTGTACTACGGTTTTCACAATTCCACATTGATTTTTTTCATCATAATATATCTTTTAAACATACAATCGTGAATACGTTAGTAAACTTTCTTAACGCATAAGGAAAGTTTCAGAGACAAGGAAAGCCATCTACAAAACTACACTCACAGGAGCAAACTTTCAAAGGACAGCATATCTAATAAATTACATTTCAGTGTAATATTTGTAGTGTTTACCAAATATACTACATTAATTTATGTAACTAAATGATATTTTCAACCATCCTAAACCTTATCTAGCATAATGGTCCATTTTATACCACCAATCCATTGGCTATGAAAAAGAAACCCTCTGTTAAAGAACCCTTACTGAAATTAGATCATTGAAAGGAAATAAGCTTTTTTTTTTTTTTTTCCCCAACAGGAAAAAAAAAAAAAAAAAAAAAAAAAGGCAGTATCAGTTCCCTCAGCATTGAGTAAATATTTTTTATGGCCAATAAAGACAAAATAACAAAAAAAAAAGGCAGAAGCTACACCTGGGTAAAAGCAAATCAGTTCATGTTTTTTACCTAAGAGAATACTATTCAATTATGCAGATTTTCCAGTTAAACTTAAAGTCCATATACTGAGTACCAAAACGATAAAAAAAGAAAAAGAACAGACACGCAAAACTATGTACACTTGAAATAAAAAGCACACACTGAAAAGTACAAAAAAAAAATATATATTATACCACCTAGGAAACTTGCCATATTCCAGTAGGTTACAGTACCACACAACTGTTAACATAATTTAACCCAATACAGCTCTTCATAACACAAATTCTTAAGTATTATTTTACTTCTTACATAATAATATATTTCCTTGTCACAATTACATTAAAAACGCAGTATTTTAAAAATCTGAAGAGGCAGCACTCGTCCTCTTTACTTCACTCCAGGGCCAACAAACAAAGCAGTGAAGCAGAAAGAGGTACATAATGGATTTAGAAGTAAATGGTCCATTCTTTAAGAAGCCTTCCTACCCCCACTTCTGAATTCACTCTAGACTAATTGTCATTACAATGATGTCTGAAAACTTCAAAAGAACCCTATTTCCTGATGCCAGCTGTCCACGTTTCTATCTTTAAATTTTAGAGTTTTTTTTTTTTTCCTAATTAGAAAAAAGTATTGGAAGTAGTATTTAGAAATACCCAAAAGATGCACCTCGTAATTGTTCTTAAATCAGACACAGTATATCGATTGAAACAAAACATTAACACCAACAGTAGAAATGTACTTTAGGATTTTCCACAAATACAACATATAAATAAAGTCTATACTCTTAAGAATTTATCTGAATACAGCATACAACACAGGTAGATGTTCTCTTTCTTTCCGTGGGGATTTATCAAACAATCTCTTCATCATTGCACCTACCTGGGTAAAAATCTTTGGACTTAGACAGCTTGATGGTGGCTCCAGTTTCTTTTTGCAACTGAACAATTGTCTGTCCTCCCTTCCCAATTATAGATCCAGCAGCATAACTAGGTATGAGAACCTTTAGAAAATACTGGCCGTCTTCTGAAAAATGCAAAGAAATATACTTGGTTAACATGGTAATTTTAAACTTTGTATCCCCTCTCCACCCTCAAGAGGGAAAAACATCAATTAAAACACAGGGCACACAGCTGCAGGAAATACGGGGTTAAATTTTTTCAAAGAACAAAAGTAAGCCAATTGCAATGAAAAATAAGTAAGTACTAAATGTTTCCCATTTTGTAGGATTTCTACTTTCAAACTTAGAATTAAAGACTAAAAACATGTTCTATCATTTTGCAGCACTGTAGAAACTGATGACTAAATTCCAGTTGTTATTCCAAACATGGAAGTCTTCCAATTCTATCTGTGGTTACTATGGCAAAATGAAATGAACTGACCCTTTAACAAAACTTCAGAGATAGATTTGTATGATGACAAATCTTCACTTAACACATTGCGATACAATAAATAAGTAAGAGGGCCGTAAACAGTGATGAGCTACATATATTGGTTTGACACTAGCAAACACCTAAGGACTACACAATTAGCCATCGCCTATATTCTACTTAAAGTATGCCAAACAAACATTTCTCCTACCAAATAATCCACCCAAACTGTAGGGTGTATTCCAAGCCTGCAGTAACTGCCAGGAAATAACTCAAAGTGATGTGAACTGGCAAATCTAACTAATCCTGGGGTATTTCTTTAGCAGTTCTTAGCCTACCATGATCTCGTTTAAGCTCATTAATTAAAGGACCTTGAGAAGAACTCTGCCAATACTAAAAAGCTTAGGAGTCATTTATATCAAATACACTTGGAAGTGACCCGACAGATTATGTCAGTTCTCCAAAACAGCCGCGATTTCTAAAGCGGAGGGAGTGGATGACCCAAGAAAGAGTGAAATGAAATGTGCTCGAAAATAAAGCCAACTCCGTAAACTTCAATTCCCGACAAACTGATGGAGTCTCAAACGGGAAACGGCCCGGTAAATCCAGCTTCCTCGTGTGAATGGACGTCCCCGGTTTTTGCGGGTGTGCCGTTCGCAAGACCCCCATCCGTCTCTAACGTGCATGCTGTATGTAGACACATTCATTCACCTCTGCCTCGATGCATTGGGTGCATTGTTAGGATGACTCCAGTGCAAACGAAGAAGCGATACCGGTCCCGTTATAACTCATCTTCCCAGGAAGCGCAGGATGTCAAACTAACAAGCCCCAGTACCAGACACCCCCACCCTCGTATGCACACCTCTGAAGACAAATCAATGAGATATTTGCAACGACAATCCAAGTGCGGTAAGAGCATGCACTCCTCAAGATTTTGCATACTACTTGTGGCCCAAAGCAAGGGGGATGGAGAGAGGAAAACTCTCCGGTGCCCCAGTCATTTGCTATCCGCTACCCAAGCGCCATTCATTCATTTATTTATTTATTTTATCAGACTGTTAAATGCAGCGCGCATCTTCGGGCGGCCATCACCTCACTCGGGGGTCATCCTCCTCCTCCTCCTCCTCCTCCTTCACGGACCCCCCGGCCCAGGTCTAGGATATTTAAATGGTCAGTCTTTAGACCGATTAAAAGGAAAGATAGGTCTGTTCCGAAAACCCGGTCGCCATTTTGATGAATGATAAACAGAGACATGGAAATGTGTCCGGGACGGCGCGGTGCGGGGCAGGTGCAGGGGAGGGGGCGCGGGGCAGGGGCGCGGGCGCCGGCGGGTTCGGGCTGGAGGTGTCCGGGCCGCGGGAGGGAGGGAGGCCGGCGGGAGGGAGGGAAGGAGGGAGGGAGGGAGGGAGGGAGGGAAGGAGGGAGGGAGGGAGGCAGGGGCGGGCGGCGGGGGATGGGGCCAGCGGGGAGGTGGAAGCGATACCCACCGCCCGTATTGGTCCTCTTGGTGCTGCCGGCTTCAGGGGGGGCTTCCAGCGGCCTTTTCCGCGAGTCCGGCGGGTCCAGGTCTATGGGAACCCCAGTGTGGGTCCCGTTCTGCTGGATGGGAGCTGCCGCCATCATGTTTGCAGTTCCTGCCGCTGCTACGGGGAGAAGGTTCTCCCTTTTGTTTTGGCTTTTTTTTTCTTTCTTTCTTTTTTTTTTTTTTGCGTTTGGGGTTTCTTAAGGTTTTTTTGTTTTTTTTTTTTTAATCGGATCAATAGAAATCTCTTTAGGAAAAAAAAAAGCGATGTTGCTGGTTTGTTCTCACTGGGGAGGGGGCAGGGCTGAGGAGCAGCTGCAGTGCAGTGTCAGAAAGGAGACAGGGGAATGGAGGGGGTGTGAGAGACGGAGGGTGAAAGAAGGAGAAGAAAGGAGAGAGGGGGAGAGAGTGAAGGGAGAGGGGCGCGTGAATGAGCGGGAGGAGGGGACGGGGAGGACGGGCAGAGGGAGTGGGAGAGCGCGAGGGCTGGCGGGGCGCGGGGAGAAGCCGAGGAGGAGGGGAGAGTGAGGGAAAGAGTGAATGAGCAGGAGGAGGGGAAGGAGGTGGCTGCGGAGAGGAGCGGAGCGGAGAGGAGCGGAGAGGAGCGGAGCGGAGCGAGCGGCGGAGGAGGAGGGCAGGAGCCGGGAAGGAGCGCGGCGATCCCCGCGCCGCGCTAGCGCTGCGCTCGCTCCCGCTGCTGGTGCTGCCGCCGCCGCCGCTGCCGGAGCGGTTCTGCCGTTGCCTGGGCTGCTCGGCGATGCTGCTGCTGCCGCCCGGTCTCGCTCATTATTTCTCCCGCTTGTAGGGGGGGCTGGCGGGGAGGGAGGGGGATGGCTGCGAGGGGAGGGTAGAGAGGGGTTGAGTTCGTAGACTCCCACACACTTCGCGCTCGGGTCCCTGCCTCTCAGCAGCGCCGCCGCCGCCGCCGCCGCCGCCGCCGCCGCCTCCCAGCGCCGGTGCCTCAGCCTGCGGGGGCGGAGGGGGCCGCGCCGGAGGCGGGGGAGGGGGTGTGAGCGCGTGCGCGCGTGCGTGTGCGCGTGCGTGTGCGCGCGCGCGGGCCGAGCGCGGGCCCCGGGGGCGCGCGCCGGCGACGGGGGCGGGGCCGGGGCCGGGGCCGGGGCCGGGGCCGGGGCCCGGGCCCGGGGCGCTCCAGTGGGAAAGGGGGGGGGTGAGAGGTCGCCGGGCCGCGGCCCCACGGCTCAGGCAAACGTAAGCGGCTCGTCGCAGAAACCGAGGGGTCCAAGAAACACGCTAGGCTAGAAGGCGGGAAGCGGAGATTACTGACAGCCGCGCTAGCCAATAACATGGGAATGTGAGGGACGCTCTTCAGGCCCCTTCCCAATCAGGACCCTCGGGTAGGAGAGGGATGAAGGGGCGGGGTGGGCGCTCGGGCAGGCGGGGGCCGGGGCCGGGGTCGGGGCCGGGGTCGCGGCCGGGGTCGCGGCCGGGGTCGCGGCCGGGGCCGGGGCCGCGACACTGTGGGTCAGTCCGAGACGGGCGTTCGGGTGCGACAGCGTCCAGGCTGAAGGGAGAAGCTTAACTTTGGGCTCCCGGGACTCCCGGCTGGCTGGGCGCTGCGTGAGGTAGGAGCGTGAGGCAGAAGACCGCGCGTCAACTCACCGGCGGTTTTGCCCGGGCGGATCTCGTCCAAAGAGCGCTTGTCGGTGTCGCTGTGCAACCTCGTGGGGGAACTTAGAGTGCGCCCCGCCGCCTTTGATCCTTTCGGGGCGAGCCAGGTCATGAGTAAACGAAGCGAGGCGCCGGCAGGCCGGCAGGCTAAAGACCCGCAACGGCTGAGTGGGCGCAAAACTTAACTATTGAAGTCTGAGTACAAACTCCTTGCGAGGTGCACAGCCTGCGACGACACGGACCTTGGGTAGACGGGGAATCTGAGCCTCAAGTGTACAGAGCTACAGTAAAAAAAAAAAAGAAAACAAAAAACAAAAAAAAAAAAGGCACAAAATTACATGGCTACGGTAGACTCCGCAAGTCAGGAGAGACTCCGTTTACGGATCAGTATTTTGCTCAAGGTCACCTGTCAGATTACTCGCCTAATTAATCAGTGTGCTAGGAATCGGGTAGGGATAAGCGGGAAAACATGGGCTTTGGAGCCCAAAATCTTGGTTTCAGGTCCTTGCAGTCATGTTCTAAAAGTGTCTCGGGCGAACCCTCTAACATGTTGGCTATTTATCAAGTGCTTACCATGTGCCAGGCAACCCCTCTTACATGCAATGCTCTTTATGTGCAGTACCTCATACAGTTATTTCTGTCCCTATTTTATGAGGCAGTTTAGGTTCAGAGACATTAATGATTCAAAGTCACATGGGAATGAATATTGTCGCAATAATTCAAACTCAGGTCTTCTTCCTGAGTCCGGAGTCTGTCCCCTTGAATATTGCAGTACTCTGGAGCTTCGGTTCCTCCGCGCTTAAAAACGGGGGCTGCAGCCCTGCTTTCCGCAGGTCTTAAACGAGTCAAATGAGATAATGTAAGATGTGAAATGTGCTGTAACGTGTGAAAAGGTATGAACATACTCGCTAGATTCCTAGAACAAAGATGCCCCTTCCTCGTACTTTTCACTATAGCCCTTCAACCTGAATGATGGCTTTAGTAAAAGCTAGCATAATAAAGAACCTCACTGTAATTCTATGTTCTAACCAAGAATACCTGCGTATCTGAGGCAACAACCAAAGAGAATAGGATAGAATTTGATTCCTGACAGAGAAGGGAATGGAAAAGAATACTAACCCTGCTCATATCCTCATAGCACCCCTTTATTGCAAGGAACATGTAGGCGGCATTGGGATTTCTGGTGCTTTTTAAGTGATGAAAGATAGATTATTGCCCACTGAATAAGGGAAGAAATAACAGTTTGGGAATAAAAGTTCATCTGGAATTATGAAAAACACTTTGCCTCCAGTCAGAGAAGAAGATGTGCTGAGACTTCAAAGAAAGGGAAAGCAGGTAAGTTAGTACATATTGGTAAAGGTCTGTGAGCCTTTAAAAAGTCCAGGACTTTTATCTGATATATGATGTAATAGGAAACCATGATATGGCCTTCATGACCAAAATAAAGAGGATTTATACCCAGAATTGGATTTAAAAAAAAAAAAAAAAAAAAAAAAGAGCCACAAGGGAGCTGTGATGAAAGAAAATCAGGGTTTGGAATAAGTATGTGGTAGTCAAGATAGAAAAAGCTGATGCCAGACATTGTGTAATCAAAGTGTTCTGTGAAGTGTACCAAAAATATGCGAGGATGTTTTCAAATGAAAAATTAGAAAAAGGCTGGGATTTGCCACGAGATTGTTTTAAAACAGTGAAAGACAGGGGACAAAGATAATTCTAAAATGAAGATAGTTCAAAGCTGTATTGTATTAAAGCTTGGACAAAGTATTCAGCATAATGTAGTTTTGAATTGGGGAAAGACTGAGAACTGGAAACTGATGTTAACAAATTTCTGAAAATAAAATAAATATTTTATTTTAGAAAATATCTGTCATTGCCATGTATAAGTTAAATTGAAAATGAACTTTCTAAGTTAAATTAGCTTCCTGAGAGTCATGACACTGTATTCTTAATGATATTTATTTGACCCTTCTCTTATTTCCTTCTTTAGACTTAATATTTAAATGCTACCCACCATTCCATGGGGCCTAGAAGCAGAAGGTATGATTTTAAATGTGGATAGCATGCTTACCAACAGTTTATTTGACTCTGATATGCCAGGGATTGCAGAGACTATCCTAAGACCTGGTTGGACATCTAAGGGTCAGTTAGCTTATGATCTGATTTGGTCAATTTAGGTTATCAGAGAATACATTCTATTCTCCATTCTCTATTATGTTTTATTGTTTGTTTGTTTGTTTGTTTTTAAAAAAAAAACATACTTCTCCATTTCACACAGTGTATACCTCTGCCATTCTGATTAAATAGACACAAACATTTTCTCTCTTATTATGCATTTTAACCAGCTAATAAAACTGGAAAAAAAAATTTAAAAAGCAGCTCCCAGTTTATATAGTATGCTATACCTCTTATGCTGCAAATAAACTGTTTGAATGAATTTTTTAAAAATATAATAGAAATATTTGACCTTTTAATTCTCTCAAAAGAAATATTTTATTTTTTAATTAACCAAGCAATTGGCACTGCAAATTTAATGATATTTTCTAACACCATACAAGAGAATGTGTGCTTTTCCTTGCTTAATTGATGAAAACATAAGCAACTCTGATAGAAAATGATATTAATCTGAAGAACAAAATCCTTGGTCTTTATTGGCTTTCAGAAGGGGTTCTTTTCTAAGTTTTAGAGTAAAATGGACATAAGATAATCTATTTTCAATAATAATGCTTGGATTTTTAGAGAAAACACAGATGGTCAATGTCCACAAATATTCCTAAGCCCATTTGCCTGCTTACCCCCGTCTTTCTTACGGTGAGTCCTATTAACTATAGAACTTAATGCTGTCTCTACTTGAGTGCCTCTTCGGCCCATGCTTTGGGAAACTTTTCGGAGTTTGTGTTCTACCAAAATCAGATCCTGAGTTAAGTATTCAAGCGCCAATAGTGTATTTTAGAAAGTGATTTCAGGAAACAGTAAGGATTTGGGTAAATGAGACAGGGGATGGAAGGAAGGCAAGGAAGGGTGAATTACCAAGCACGTTACACTGTGAGCAAACAGAGCTTAATCTTACTGGGATTCCTGGGAAACCATTTAAAACAGTAGCTTCAGAACTAGCCCGCTCAAGGTGTGAGAAAACTGAGGTATGTATGTATGTACCAACTCTCTTCAGTCATTGATGGAAGTCTTTTCCTAGGGTGCATTAATTTAATGCATGCTGGCTAGTCTTCCAATTGCCAGAGCTGCATCCTTTTCTGACAACTTTCCCTGGCCGCTGGAGTCTATTCTGCCCTTATACAGGCTGGAAATGGCTAGGGAATCAATACTGTGCTATGGACACATCCCCCACCATTGTGGAAAATCAGGCCACTTATGCCCTGGGAGGGTAAGGAAATATGGATGGGGCACTAACATTTTGTTACAAATATCAACATAAGTGTATGAAAAACGAAAAGGAGAAGACAATCTGTTACTGCAAACTATTGTTGGAAGGCCAAATAAATATGAAGAATTTGGAAAGCTGGAAATACTAAAAAAAATTAAGATTTTATAAGTTTCACAATCCAAATATTGTAACCATTGGTTGTAAGAAGACTGAATATTTTTTTTTGTTTTAAAAAAACCACATTTTTAATTTTTTAAGATATAGACAGGAAGAATCAATGTACATACTCTATTTTTTCATCTAATGCAGCACAAAGAAAATAGGAGCAAATATATACCAGAAGAGTTTATCACCCAATCCCACCTCTTGAGTTTGTATAACAAGTTCTACAAACAGACATATTGATTAGAAATACTTTTCTAAGATTGCACTTCTTAGAAAAATTATTTATTAAACTTTATCTTCTCAAAAATTCAAAGTTTTTATGTTTATGTATTTAATCACATAAATTCATTGTTGGCGAATATGTTTATGAAACAGTCTATGAAAGCTCACCCTAATTTATATGGAAACATAAGTGTGTTATTAGCATTATTCCAAAACATCCCCAAGCCTTAATATTCATCCCAATACATAAAGAGATATGTTAATATTAAAAAGAATCCTAAATTTGTTGGCACGGAGTATATTTCCTTGATTTGCGGCATTTTTCTAAATATTATGAAATACATCTTTTCACACTTACCTTAAAGACAATAAATCTGAACTAATACTTTATACAGTGCAACAAAAAGAACTTTGTGATAATTGATACATGATTATGTAAATAGTAAACATTAGGAGAAGTTGCATGAGGGGTATTGGGGAATTTTTA